ATATATATGACCATTGCCGATCTGGCAGAGGAACGATAAAGTTACGCTTCGCCCTGGAGCTCGCAATTAAGACCCGCGCAGTTAATCACATAGCGACTATGTGGATAGAATGGAGTGGATTTGACAAATCAAAGAGAGACCGGAATGGCCATGTCTGGCTTTTTAGCTGTCATCAGCCAGTCATACCTAATCTCAGTCTTCCAGGTCGGCGATGCCCATATATTCATCATACTCCCGACCTCAACCGACAATTCAATGAGTTCTTTTTGCAATGGTATAGTGATAAACTTAATGACCAAATGTCCCTGGTTCGGATCTCAGGCGTTCCGACCTTTTAGCTTGGGATGGCCTGCAAGTACTATGAGCAGAAGAAGTCATTTCGATCACCGGAATTATAGTTTTATTCGTCTGAGCCTTCGAACTCTAACTGGAGTCAATTGTCATACATAAAAGAGTCAACGTATAAACAATCAAAAATTATAGGGAGCAGAGGCCAATCAACTACCAGTGATGTCAGTTCGGGGATGCTTACACAGGCCGATATATGCCAGCGCCAGATCGATAAATCGATTGACTGAGTTCTCATCCGAGGCTCAGGCTTCAAGTAGTTCTTGGCCTGTCTTGTTGCCGGCGTGGGCGATTATCTTCTCGACTGCGAAGTTAAACTCCTGACCCGTTTCGTAGGTGTGGGCGGCCACTTGCGATAATGTGTCATCCCGTCTTACAGCCAGCTTATGTTCGTGTATGCGCGAACCAGCATGCGTCCCGTCTGTCTTGTGTAATTGCGAGGACAGTTTAGACATGGTATACGATACACTACACACGGCTGCTCACGATGACTCGATTGGTCCTTGATTCTCATGACTCGGCTGCGCACGGCAGCCTTAGGACGATGTACAATTCTGACGCCTGGTCCCGCAGCATTGCGCTTGGTCGCTTCCGACACATCCTTAGTGTATGGTAACACATGCTATTATACGGGATGCGAATATTCGCCTCATTTCATGAAAACTTTGGACGCGATGCCCTTTGGACAGTACTATGGGCGCATTGCTCGGATATTTATGTTTTAGGCAATTGGTTTGATGACGACCTTAACCTGAATTCGAACTTCTGACCTGTGCTGTGTTATGATTGCTGGCGATATGAAGGGCCGGAGCTGGCCCTTTCTGCCTCCCTCTGTCTTTGTGAGAAGTGCTTATGATAATTTACTGAAGGCAGAAATGGTACTGTCATGTTCCATTGTTTCCTCGTAGCTTTGGGGCTCCCTGGAAGGGCTCTAGGCTGTAGTTGCAACCCCAAACAGTATGTCAGCATTCCCCTCTACATTAGGCTCGGCCAGCAGACGCACAGCCTCTGTGATTTTGTATTTTGACAGCCTCATTGTAATCAAAATAGTCAGATCTCTTGACTGATCGTATGACCTCCTCTCTCCCCTGCAAGGCTATTAGTAAGAAAGAGCAGCAGTTGCGAAAGCTGGATGATGAATGGGACGCCAACGCGAGGCTCCCTGTTCAAATGAAACAATCAACACTGCAAATGCAAGGTAAGTGGTTTTCTGTTCTGTGTGGTGTCATGAATGGAGCTGCTTAATTCCTTTTTGTCCACACTTCCATTTTTAAGGGGGAAACTTGATTTTCTGCGTGTCCGTAACACTATTCCTTGCTTTAAGATCATATTCATTTCCTCTGGAATCGACGCTCCAAAATGCTAGAGGAAAAGTCCATTGAAAATGAATTCGCCCGAAGCGAAACAACGCGGCTGAATGGTTACGCAAAGGAGATGACTGCAATAATACACCCAGCAATTTCGGGCTTATACAGCGAACTAAAACATCTACGTGTCCAAATGGAAACCGACGAGGTGTTACCTTCAGTCTGATTATATGAAACTTTATTACTTATCCAATCCACTGAGTGTTTTACGCTGTAACAATACATACCACATTAACTGCTTGCAAATAAACCACAATAAACTTAGTTTTAATGACTGCTTGTTAGGGCCCTATCAGCAAAAACAGAAAAACAGAATAACTCCATGTACGGGAACTATGCGTACCATATGATTATTAGATATAATAATAACAACCTGTCGTTTTCAAAGTTCGCCACACAGTTGTATAAAAGCGGAGATGGTAAAAAATCTTTCCCGTTCCGAATGTTTAGCTTCATTCTGATTACTTGAACCTGAAACCGTTTTCATATTATAACATGCGTGTGAATTGTGGTGGTTTTTAGGGGAACACACAGGGGAAGTGAATCGCACCATTGTTTATGTGTAAGGATCCAACGTTTTCCATCAGGATTGAAACTGACGTATTGAATAAAATGCTAAGCATAATTCCAACACTTGATAGAGGTGACCTAAAACTTTTTCTTTGCAGAGCAAAGATCTTGCTTCTTTACAAAAGAAAGATGAGAGGTGATGGGAAAAGTAAGGAGACGCGACGAACACTGTTGAAGGAGACAATCTCTGTGGCTTTAATAATCACAAAAGACGGCTTGCCATCAGGCGTGCTCCGTATTGGCCACATGATATCGAGAAATGCCAAATAGATTTTACTTAGGACAATCTGGAATATGAGAATATGGGCGTGACTGGAAGCCCACTCAAATGGTTATCCGACTTACTCACAGGCAGGCGTCAGCGTGTTTGTATTGGAGACACCAAAACAGAATGGAAAACCATATCCAGTGGGGTTCTGCAGGGAAGCGTTCTGGGTCCCATTCTATTTCTGGTATATGTGAACGACTGCCTTGACTGCCTCACCTGTGAGAAAGTCATTTTTGCAGACGATCTAAAGATCTGGAAGTCCATTGAAAGCTCAAAGGATGGACAGACCTTACAAAATGACTTGGATCGCTTGCAAAAGTGGTGTGA